AAGGGTAGACATCCAATACCCCCATTTTTTTTTTTTTATCATTTATTGCTCTTATATTTTTTCTTCGGATCAACCTAAACGTCATTTGAAATTGGATAAACCGTTCATGTCTTCTCTATCAATCGTAATCAAAGAATTATATCCCTTTTCAATCCTCAATCATGCCTCATTTTCAAATCAGATTGTAAACTTTGTGTGAGGTTAAAACTTAAAATTATTGAAAATACAAAAAAAAAGTCAAATTATTGTTATGAATGACGGGTATTTTTGCAAATTATCATCTATAAATCAGCATTTACATTAACTTAAAATGCAAAAAAATAAGTAAAATAAATTATTTGAAACTTAATATAAATATATTAACACGTTTGTAAAATTATAATTATAATTAAAATTTATGATAAAGAATCATAAACAGTTAAAATCAATTAAAAAAATGAAAAAAATTCAAAGTCTAACTAAATATTACCTCATATATCTATGGAATAGGGTCCATTTACAATTTTTTTTTGTAAATTACACTAAGTATGACCGGTCGTACACTGCATGATTAAAGTATGATCGATCGTACTTAGTCTAGTTTGTAAAAGTTTGTAAATAAAAAAATTTGTAAATATAACCTGCCCTTATATCTATATATACAATCTAATTTTTAAAATTCAATTTCTTCCAAATTAATTAAATACGAGGAGTATTAGAATAGTCCTAGATGTTAACTCTCCTAATCTTGACTTGAGGATGGGGGCAGAAGAGTCAAACTGACTCAGAAATCATAAGGGCATCTCATGTGTGCTGTACCATGAAAAGAATGGATTAGCGCGCCGAGCCGTGTGATTCCTCTGTACCAAGGAAGAAAAAAGTTGCAGTGGGGGAGGGACCACAACCACACCCATGCACCCGACACGTCAAAGGTGGTCCCCTCCACCATTTTGGTTTCCCAGTCCCTTCTTTATTATGGGTTTCTGTGTCGCACGTGTGGAGCCGACTGAAACCCTGCTGGTTGGGCCCCACACACTGTCATCTCGTTGTTTGTCCCTATCTGTGCCCGTTCCTACTCAACATCACGTCACGTCAGAACAAGCCCCAAATACCGGAGAACGGGGCATGTTCCCAATCATCGCTTTCTACTTTACCAATTTATCTATGCCTCCGAATTAACATTGTTAAACTTGCATAATTCAATGCCCAAAGGTTCATTAACAGTAAGTAATCACCCGTTGCTGCTTATATATTCGGTTGGAGAGAATGATTTGTATCCAACAGAATGCATGTCCCTTTGGCAGGGATGGGCCCGGCATCCCAATGTTTTCATTTTTATTGCTAAGATTTTATACAATCTTATTAGTGATAGATTTTTTCATATTAAAATTTTCTCTGATTTTGTTATATACAAATTTTGTATTTATTTTTCTCTGTACAGAAATTAAATAAGCAAAGCTTTATTAATATTTATTAAAAAGAGATAAATAAAAAAATTACATGATAAAAATTATGTCAAATCTTAATATAAAGTGATACGTTTCTTATCATGTCACGTAAAAAATTGTGTTTATCTCTTTTTATGAATATTAAATATGATCCACTTTATAAAATTCTATTATAAGATACATTTCTTCTCTTGTCACGTAAAATTTCACATGTGATCCACTTTATAAGATTATTTTAACAGTCTAGATTTAGGTTTTAGAATTCATGACATATGTCATGTTTTTCATATAATATAATATATTGTTTTTGAGTATGAAAACATGTCTTGCCATCGTGCACTTCTGGTTTTTCAATATTTTTTTTTGGATATTAAGTTTTTCAATATTAGTTGCAACCAATTGGCAATAATGGAGATGCTTATACCTCTGGGTCCCATATTAGGGTGTTTCCGCTGTGCATCTCTATGACCATTTCATCACATCACGATTCACGAATTAGCATGTGGGCTGCAACTTACTTTGACCGGTCTTCTTGTTCTACTTGTATTTGCTTCGATTTCTTGCCAAAACAACAGTTACATGATACCCAGACTCGCAAATCATAAGAAATCCCTGTCAGTTACTTTGCAAATTTCGATTCTTCCATCAATACTTTTTTTTTTTTAACTGACACCCATGTCTGGAACAGTAACGAGGTCTCACAGATTCACCAACCATGCTCGCTTAAAATAATTCTTCGTTTTGTGTCGCGCTCTCTGCTTATCTTTTCGTACCAGACCTAGGGGATAGGGCACTAGTAGGTATAGGTGGCCCTCTTATTTGGTATTAGTCATGTGGCTCAGTCCTCGCCGCAGAATTGGACTGTGGTATCCGTGATTAAGCTACAGCGCTACACTGTAGGGATCGATGCTAATTGTTAACAAACAGGTCATGTGGCTTCCACGAAGGAAGGGTGCGTTAGGTTGCCGGATACTTACTAAAATGTTACTCTTCGTCAATTTTTTTAGCTAAATGTCACGCGAACAGTGTTATTTTCCAATCTGTCACGGGGCAAGTTCACTTCTGACACAAGCGACCTCGGTTTGCTGACGTATCACATTTTTAGTAGATAACAAGTATTAAATTTAAAAAAAAAATTCAAAAAAAAATAAAGTTCGCCTACCATGTAGGCGAACTTGGTTAAAATATTGTTAGAACCGAGGTCGCCTGTGTCAGAAGCGAACTCTGACACCACCAGGAAGCTGACACATCAGCAAACTGAAGTCGCTTGTGTCAGAAGCGAACTTGCCCCGTGACAGATTAGAAAATAACACTGTTCACCTGGCATTTAGATAAAAAAATTGGTGAACAGTGGCACAATAGTCAATGTTCCGTTAGGTTACTGATGCAGTGCTTCTTATTTTTAGTAGAGTTTTTTTTTTTTTTTTTTTGCACTTCTTGTGGTTATACTGTTTTGGACCAACCCGAAATGGATCACGGATCATTAGATGAATTTGTGTGGGCAAAAGTATCTTAAGCAAAATCAAACAGACAATAATTGTTGTGAACGTGAATTGCCTATATTTGACGGTGTTTAAGATTTGACTATTTATTCATTGTATCCATAGTATTATTTACATTGGCAAATGGGGCCCGGCAAAGTTCCCAACTAATTATTTCCTCATTGTTTTATATAAACTAATGGTCCATTGACAGCACATAATAACAAAATATTAATAATTTAACATATTTTTTATGTCATTAAATTTATCCATACATTTACATAATTTCATATTAATCTTCTTAAAAATTTATATAATTCAAATGTTATTATGAGTACACACAAAGTTTAAGGCAATAAAAATAATAAATAAAGAAATTATTATAAAGATTTCTTAAATCTTCTTAATCAATCATTCTAATAGTTGAATAAATAAAATACTAAATAATTTTTATATTAAACATGGGCTTTGCAATAGCTGCTGCTAATTTAATTTTGATTAATTTATGAATAATAATAATAATTTTTTCATAAGCTCTTTCGTGGTTGAGTCTAATTTCTTACACCATGATAATTAAGAGTGTTCGTGGTCTGGATTAGATCTGTTTTGGAAGCAAAAACCATCCGATCCAATTTCTTCGGTTTGACCATATAATCATCCATTCGGTTTGGATTTTTTTTAAATCCGATCCGATCAAATTCAATTTTTTTCGGTTTGGATTTGATCTGTTTTTGGTTTTTGAAAATCCTAAAATTTATTTCATAATTATGGTGCAAATAACATCTTTTGTATATATTGGCTTTGTAAATTTTTTTTTTGAAATACAAAAGCATTAGTAAACTATAATATAATTTTTTTTTTGGACAATGAGATATGAAGCTCTACAAAGATAAAATTTTGTTGATGAGATGTGATTAGATTTTTTCTTAAGTTTTAGCTGATGGGTTAATGGGTCTTGAGTTTAAAATTTTTTGGACTATGATTGGAGAAAGACCCAAGTAGGTAGAGGGGAATTAATATATTGGATCGATTTTGATTGAATCGGTTGTTTTTTTTTTTCGATTTTCGATTTATTCGGTTATCGATTTTTCGGTTTAGTTACTGCGATTTGAATCGGTTAATGAACACCGCTAATGATAATTAGATAACACCCCTCTCAAGGTGGAGACTCAATTCAAACTCTTCTAATAAAGTTTCCTTTAGGTCGTAATTACTTCTATTCGGTTAACTATTATTGAGTATATTATACATTTAAACACATATTAAATAAGGGAAAATATTTCTATTTTTACTGTCAAAAATTTTTATATGTCAAACTCACAAAAAAATGAATGGCCCATTGTAAAGAAAAGAGAGAAAATATTATCGGGATATACTCACTTTTATGTGAGTGTAATAAATAAATTTTTTTCACTGTTAAAACAGAAACATTAAATTTAAAATTTGGGTCAAATAAAAATATAGTTTTTTGGGTCAAACTAGATGCAATTAATAACATAAGAGAATTTAAATTTATTCATTAAATGCATTTGTTTTTTATTTAATACCTTTTTTAATTAAGTATTTGGAGATTATTAACAAGGTGTAGCAATCCTCCTACTAATTCTCGTAATTACTAAATAAGAAAAAATTAAAATTTTTTTGTGTTTTCAAAATATTAAAAAAAATTCGTTTTATACTCTCTTTTTTTTATCAAATGTTAAGAATGAAGTTTAAATCGTATAAATTAGTGATGTTAAAAAATTGATATCATCATTTAATACTGTCACATTATTTATTAAAATTAGCTTATCACTAGATAACGTAATAACATGTAATTAAACAATAATACAATTTTATACAAACTAAATTTTTATCAAAAAATATATTTAAGAAGATTATATAACAAAACTTCATGTTTACTATTTTCTTCTTTTTTAAAGCCTTGGGACAACCCTTGAAAATAATATAAAAATATTATTTATCCTGATCCAATTTGGTGGGTCTACTCCTCTCCTTCTCCAATCCAGTTTTTTTTTTTTTTTTTTTTAAGAATTAAACTATTAAATAATGAATGAAGTGAAAAATACGGCAGTGTGAAAAGGGAAGGAGAGAGAAAGAGAGGATAGGAAGAATCTAAAAAGGAAACAACATTTCTTGTTCTGCTTGTGCAGCACAAGAAACTTCAATTCAGCAAGCGTTGTCCTCGTGTGTGAGTGTGACACACGTAGAAGATAAGAGAAGAGAAGAGAGCAGGTGGAACAGTTTTCGCCGGAAAGATGACCGGCGGTGGGTCGTCGGGGAGGTTGCCTACGTGGAAGGAGAGAGAGAACAATAAGAGGAGGGAGAGAAGACGAAGAGCGATTGCTGCTAAGATCTATTCAGGCCTTCGAGCTCAGGGGAACTACAAGCTTCCCAAGCACTGTGACAACAACGAGGTCTTGAAGGCACTCTGTACCGAAGCTGGTTGGATTGTAGAAGAAGATGGCACTACCTATCGAAAGGTTTCCCTCTTTAACTTCCTCTCAGATCTACAACCATTTTCATGCTCCTCAATTGGAAACACTTTCCTTTTATTCTCAGTTTTGATGTTTTATGTTTATCGATCTGCTTCAGGAACTTCATATGGCCTAAATAGAATTTAATTAAACCTTTGATTTAGGAAACAAACATGACCTTTTCTTTCCTTTTCTTAAATCTGATTCTTAACTGCTGTTTAGGTTCATGATGTTAGTGTGTGTGTGATCTGGTTTTCCCTTTTCCTGTAAGAAATAATGTCTTCTTACTTAGAAGCTGGTTTGTGCATAATATAATGTTGATTGGAAGAAATTTATGTTTTTTTGAGTACCCCAGGTCTTTGATTATCTTGGTTTGCCTAATATGAGTGAATAAATTTGATACAGGGATGCAATAGACCCCCAAGTGAGATTGGAGGCACTCCACCGAATATGAGTGCTTGTTCTTCGATTCAGCCAAGTCCACAATCCTCATCATTCCCTAGTCCAGTGCCTTCATACCATGCCAGCCCTACTTCTTCGTCTTTCCCCAGTCCTACACGCATTGATGCAAACCCCTCTTCCTTCCTCCTTCCATTCATCCGCAACATAACTTCCATCCCTACAAATCTTCCACCTCTCAGGATATCTAATAGCGCCCCTGTAACCCCACCTCTTTCTTCACCCAGAAGTTCAAAGCGGAAAGCAGATTTTGAATCCCTCTCCAATGGTTCCCTAAACTCCTTCCGCCACCCTCTTTTTGCTACTTCTGCTCCATCAAGCCCTTCGCGCCGTCACCATGTGGCTACTTCCACCATTCCAGAATGCGACGAGTCTGATGCTTCCACAGTGGACTCTGGTCGCTGGGTTAGTTTTCACTCAACAGCTGCTCCTCCTTCCCCTACCTTTAATCTTATGAAGCCGGCAATTCAACAGATCACCCCACAGGATATGAATGATGGCATACAATGGGGATCGGCTGCAGAGAGAGGCAGAGGATCAGATTTTGACTTTGAGAATGGCAGAGTGAAGCCGTGGGAGGGTGAGAGAATACATGATGTAGGAATGGATGATTTGGAGCTTACTCTGGGGTTTGGAAAGGCCTGATGCTAAAACCAACTTACCTTCATATGTTTATACGGCACCAAAGAATCACATATTCTATTGTAATCCCTCAACAAAGGGTGCCTGGTTTCCTTTGCGATCATGTGGATTGCTGGGATCTGCTACTTTGCCAGCGTCAGGGGAATTGGTTGTTATGCTATATTTCTATATTTTCCTTGTGTGTACAGTTCATTTTATATAGCAGTGGTTAGTGGTTACATTACATGAAATTTGACTTCATTGTAATGCCTTGTTAATTGTTTAAGAGTTGCATTTGAAGCAACCTTTTAAGGAAGTGTTTTGAGACTTGAATCTTAACTTACTAAGACAAGGGAAGTGGAAGTTCAACGCGGTGATATTCTTATTCCTCTTATTGATGATCATGTTACATTTTTCTTCTTAATAATTCATTGCATTGCTGAGCATTTGGCTATGAGTGTGATGTGCTTACTTGGGGAAGCTCTCTCTCATATATATATATATATATATATATATATATGTTGCAGCTTCTAATTTATTTGCTTGATTGAAGTTGTCTTTGATCTTCTCGGTTTGCTATATTGGGCATCTAAACTACTGCATTGTTGTTCCAATATTTAGTCATTTAATGTCAAGTATGCACTTTTTATGTATTCTTCTTGTGAGAAATCCATGAGTCTAGCTGGAAAGTGTTATGATCACCTACTGCTGAGATGATATGAAAGCAATTCTGATACGCAAATGGTAATCTCTGTCAACTTTGGCAGTTGATGGCTTTGCTAGGTGGTATAGTAAGAGTGGTAAAATGGGAGCTATGCTCTGAAAATATCATAGGGAAAAAAAATTACATCCTACAAAATAAACTAAATTTTTTTAGGAAAAGGAGGGGGCGGCATCGCCTCCCTTAATGCGCCACCCCTTTTTGCAGGAACATCAGCACTCCTTCGAAGATCTCGATCACTTGGTTTGAGGGGGTGTATCTCATGGCTTAATTCACAATCTTTCTGTTTTTTTTTTGAATTTGATATCCCAATTCATTATATTAATTTATGATTTGCTGAAGAAGGGCAAATTCTGCTTTGTTCGAATATATATGTTTTTTTGGTACAATTGTTGAATTATATCTTTAATCCTCCATGCAGTATACATAAGAAGTTATGAGCAACTGTGTCAGTTGTTATCAGACAATTTACAATTTAAACGAGAACCTTATTTTTTCGGGCTTTTATAGTCTCGAAAATCAGGAGTAAGGAGCATCACAACTAGTTAACGTCTTTACGATATATGATGTCAGACAAACTACTCACGACTCACCAACTCTTAGCGATGACTTGTTATTGCGAATATCTGTTTTCAGGACCTGGATGTCTTGTTCTTTCGGCCTGTTCTCTGCTTCGGCTTTTTTTTTTGTCTTAGGAGGTGATTAATTCTGGTCCAGAAAAAGAGGAGGCAAGTGTAACAACTCAATAGGCCAAAGGAAAAGACATTAGTACAATTAGTACTATCGTATTTTCCTTATTTTCTCCTAATATTTTAGGATGTTGTGTTAGTTCCTGTTTGTGATTGTCCTTGATAATTCTGTAGCAACAACTTAGTGTTCTATAGGGTGAAGTAATGATTATGTAATGGGCAAGAAGAAAATATTGAAACTCACCCCATTCTCTCTCAACTCTCTCTTTTCCTTCTGTGACCCTTCTGTACTGCCCACTATAACGATGGTGCTTTCATTTAGAATAAAAGCAGGGGAGGGAGTGGGTTTCAGTATTTTCTTCTTACCCATTTCATTACCAGTACTTCACTTTATATAACACTAAGTTGTTGCAACAGAATTACCAATGACAATCACAAACAGGAACTAACACAACATCCTAAAATATTAGGAGGAAAAAAAGGTACTAAAATAAGGAAAATGCTATAGTACTAATTGTACTAATGTCATTTCCTTTGGCCTACTGAGTTGTTACATTAAATAACCATTGACGTTTTTGTTTACCTAGTTAATTTTCCCACATAGAACGGGTTAGATGGGAATATCTTCCGTCATTTTCATGCTCCCATTCTGTATATTTTTCATGCTTGGATATGCCCAGTTGAAGAGGATGATATCAGATAAACATGTCGTCTAGTCGTGAGTTTGTGAGAACCAGAAAGCGCACATTATTATTTTTTCCATACAAGGACTAAAAAGCATTGCGATCTTTCTCTTTTTGGTATAACATGGAGATATCTCCATTCAATATCCTCCTATCACCTTATCCTCGAAGCACGGCCTCAAAAAGTATTGCAATCTTACACTACTTAAAGTTCACTCTTTTTTTGGATGTGAGACAGTTGGGCCCAAAACCTCTCTGCTTTCTTTCTTGCTAGGTTGCGAAATATTGTCGCTTTTATTAATTTTTTTTTCCAATTGCCTTCGTATGTAGATTAGAGTGATATTTAATGTTTTTACTTGATAATTCAATTAAGGGTAATAGTTTTCTCACGTGGTAGCATATAAATATTATCTCTTAGAGACTCATTTATGCAAGTGAGATCCACTTTCAAAAGAGGGAAGAAAAAAGTAGAGTGAGACCCGTCTTAAATTTTTGTGGATAGGAGATAAATTTTTTCTTATTTAACATAACAATAATAAATCCCTTCAATTAAATTGCTTTGCCATTCAATATCAACAGAAATTAATTGATTATTTTTCATTAATTTGATGAAATATAAAAAGTTATTAATGTCGTCAGGTGATTCGGATGTCAAATGTTAGATTTACGTAATCATCCCCTTGCAAATTCAATATAAGGCTTCAATTAACCCTGCACAGATCCAATGTTTCATAGCACCTGATTGTCCTTCTAGAGAATCCGAAAATGACCCAGTGGAAGGAGCAAACCAAAAGTTGTAGGACTTGAGGGTACGAGTGTGCGATGCCGGATGACCGAGACTGTAAGACAGTGGTGCCAAAGATGAAGAGATGTTGGAGACTGAACATAAGTAGTTTATAGAGATGAAGAGGAAGGAATTAAGGGGTGTATTGGATTAGGATTTTAAATGATTTTTTGAGACAAAAAATCTTAGATTTTAAAAGACTATTTAAAATTGCAGGGATTTTTAAAAAAATTTAAAAGATTTTTTTTTACAATCAAGATTTCATAATATTGAATTTTAATAAAATTTAAAAGATTTGCAAGGACAATACGGATTTATAGAATTTTAGAAAACCATATAAAATATAATAAACATTCAAAATTACAGGGGTCAATAAAAAAAAGAAATGCAATGATATTAATAAAAAAAAGTAAAACCTAATATAATTTTCTCAATAAGTAAAATTCATGATAAAATTTCATTTGAATTTTTTTTTTTAATTGATCTTGTACACTTTTGGGTTTTTATTCTACGTGATGAGAGTTTTCTAACCATATATCATATGCATGTTTTCATTGAGTATTCCAAGAAAATTTTAAATCTGAATTTCTGAGTTTTATTACATGAAAGTTTATAAAATTTCTCAAATTATTTTCAATTAAATTGCGTTGGAGCTTTTGAAAAATAAGTTTTTAGTGATCTATTGATACAAAATTGTTTGAAATCGTTTCCTATAGCAAAAGAATTTTGTTCATGAATGTATTGTTATGAAACATAGGATTTATATTATAAAATTTTCAATCTTTCTTTAAATCGATCTTGTTTCGTGGATGTAAAACAAAAATTGGCTTGGTGATTTTTGTTCCGCTGTTATTTTTCCACTGTTTTATGTTGTTCTTAATACAAAAATCTCACATTTTTGTGCCAAGAAAAATCGCAACGAATAGCTTGAAAAATCATTTTTTAAAATTCCAAAAACTCTCACATTTCTTGTTGGGTTGTTGTTTCTAGGCTGTTTTGTGATGAAAATCGCTAAAAATATGTTATTTTTGAGCTTTGACGAAGCTCCCGTGTCAGAACGTGGTTTCGAGCGGGTCGATCTGTCAAAGGAAGAAGAAGACACTGCAATAAAGAAATCTCATGAAATCCTTGGGGTTAGGATGAGATTATGAGAGAGGAATCCTATTTATATTTCTCACTAAAAAGCAGTGTTTAAAAATCCGATCCGACCATTGACTCGGCCGAAGTCAGGGGCATGGGGTCACAGGTTCAACCGGAGGGTCACTTCGCTGACCTGGTTTTATACATTAAAAAAATATAAATATATATTCTATATAAAAATTCAAAAAAATCAAACCACCAATTATTAAAGATTCAAAATATACTTAGCATAATTCAACCAATTACATCCATAAGTCAATATTCACAAGCTAATCAAACTATCAAAGTATAAAACATATATATGAATAGAGTTAATGAAAAGTTATATCATCAAACTCAGGCTCTTCTTGTCCTTCTCATGCACCAACAACAAGCTCTTCTTGTCCTTCTCATGCACCAACAACAATATGTGAAAGGAGATCCCTTACCCAATAGAAAATAGCGAAGAAAAGGCACGGACACGACAAATTAACGACGGAGAGAGAAGAACAACCACGGCAGAGGAGATCACCGGAACAGGAGTCTGGGTCTGGGAGAGAAGAGCATAAGAGAAGAAAAGAACGATTCAGATTTTAGATTTAGTTCTAAATCTAGGTAACAATGATTTTTTTTTTTTTTTTTACATATCAAACAACGTCATTTCGTGTATATATATATATATTTTGAAAAAAATACAGTGACCCCTTTGAACCCTCTAACCTAGGTTCAACGGAAAGTTTCGAGGGTTAGATGGATCAACGTGCAAATAGGGTCTAACTACTAACCCGAACCCTCAAAGAGAGGGGTCAATGACCCAGAGGGATCGACCCCGGGGTGGGGTCAAATTTTAAAACACTGCTAAAAAGTCTCACGAAATCTACACAAATAGAAAATCTATTAAAATTGTTAGATTTTTGAATACCACAAGATTGTTTTTATTTTGTTTAAAATCCTGATTGAATACTAGCGGATTTGGACGGACTCTAAAATAATCTTTTAAAATCCTAATTGAATAACACGTGACTTTTTTTCAATCCTTTAAAATCCTAATTGAATACCAATGAATTTTTTTGTCCAAAAATAATTTATTAAAACCCTTTGAAATCTCAATCCAATGCACCTCTAAATTTGTACATATTACTATACTCAGAATTAGATGTGGGTTGTTAGGGATTACAATCAGACATATCTTTAACCTCATCCGTTTTAAAAAATAATAGCTCATTAAAATATATTTTTAGAAATCAGGCAATAAGCCTTTAAGCTTTAAGCCTCAAGGTTTGATTTGTATTTTTTAATAAAATAATACAAATACAAATAAAAATAGTTCATCTATAAATGACTAATTTTTTAATATATAAATATAATTTTCTTAAAATAT